GCTACTGCGCATGCGTCACGCATGCGCACGAGGTGCTAGGGGTAATTTCAGACTGGGGGTAATCTCAGACCATGACAGCGGCTATAACTTAAGACATATTCACTTCGGATAAGAGGCATTAATTGCCTACCACAGACGTTTTATAGCCGGATATAATCGGGGATAAGTTGGTCCATCGCATGCCCTATGGGTCGTTCTATAGCCCAGCGGCAGTTAATGTAAGCGGGCTATAGTACTAGAGCTATAGACAATTAAGACCCAATTTGTGTACGCTTATGCAGTTTGACGACTTATTCATGACATAGTCAATTTCAAAGACAGGGACTGCGTTTTAGAATCGGCAAAGATAAAGTTACAGTGTAACATGCCAATGGAACATATGACGCTTCCTTACAAATATAATCAAAGTGTGCATTCCAGCGAAGATCGCTACTATGACGCCAAATTGGCAATTATTTTTAAGTAGGGGTAAGAGATAGATTATTAGTATTAGTACTATTAGTATTACTAGTACTAGTAGTAGTATTACTATTCGAATTACTATTAGCTATCAGTATCAGACTAGAGTGGGTAATGCAAAGAATTTTACATTTTTCAGTATTGTGTTGACATCAACACTACTCAGTACTCTGTATCCACCGGCACTTGAAACGTTTCAATAAAATATAAATGCTAAATAAATACGAAATATAATACTAGTACTACAAAATTCTTAATGTTTCTATACTCTCTTTCACCTATTATTGCCGACAGTTTCCTGTCAATTCCGTGTAAATGTTCTATGCACACACACTACCGCCGCCATTGCTCACTGTGCACAGTCACTGTTAATATATATAGTGACTGTATATAATATTGACTAATATTAATAACTATAGTTTAACTAAAACTAAAACTAAAACTAAACTATAGTTTAACTATAACAATAGACTTAATATATATAGTGACTATATATATTAACAGTGACTGTGCACAGTGAGCAATGGCGGCGGTAGTGTGTGTGCATAGAACATTTACACGGAATTGACAGGAATTGACAGTTGACATAGGAATTGACAGGAAACTGTCGGCAATAATAGGTGAAAGAGAGTATAGAAACATTAAGAATTTTGTAGTACTAGTATTAGATTTCGTATTTATTTAGCATTTATATTTTATTGAAACGTTTCAAGTGCCTGTGTCTGTATCAGTGACAGTGTAAGTTGAAACAGTTTGTTGTAAAGTGTAACAGTGACAGCAACACTCTCTTACAGTTTACACTGTCACTGACACAGTGACACTGACAGTGACACAGTGACACTTTAGTCTTTAGTCTTTACATAGATATGGCCATTATGGGTGGTTATAATTAACACTAACAGTAACAGATAGACGTGGTTAGAGATGGACGTGGTCATAGATAGACGTGGTTATCACAGAAACCCCGTCAAAATTAATATTGATACTAACACACGCCTAATCGTCGTTGTTTTCTTTATAGCAACTATTTCAGTGTTTGTATAGGGCCCCTATTATTACTATATATGAGTACTTACAAGGATTACTAAACATTACTAGTAAACATAAGTCGCCTCACCATGACGTCATATCCTAGTAGATGCTACCATCTGGTGCACGAGTATGAAAACTATTTATTGTTGCATGTTGGCGTGCAAGGCGCTGGTATCGAATTACGTTGGTTGCGATGACAACTGACGTGCGTAGGTACCTTTTTGAACAGCTCCGTGGAGTAAGATTAAGAAAGAAAATTAATTAGGAAAACAATGAAGCAGAGTGCTTTAACAGCAACCTCAAAACAATCGTTGAAGCAAGTAGTGAGTGGCTCATCAAACCACAACACATCGATCCTCACTTTAGATCTTAGTGGCTCTAATAGTAATATCACTGCTGGATTTGCACCTACCAGTACCACTACCAGCAGCGCCAGCAGTACCACTGGCACTGCCACTGCGGTTACTAATACTAGTGCTAATATTAACAGTAGTGCTAGTGCTAGAGGACTAGTTACTATTGGAAGCACTAACAGCGTGGAACATGTAAGCAAAGGGCACATAGACACTGGAACCATACAAGAAACCCGCACAGAACAAAACCCTGATTTGCAGCATGAGAAAATAATCGTTGAGAGGTAAATTTTTTATCTCTACCCTAATCACTACCACTGCCACTGGCACGGCCACTACTAGGCCTAGTAGCCGCCAAGCCACTACGAGACTGCGTTTCAATACAAAAAAAGAATTCCTGTTTATTTGCTGTCATTTTGTTATTGAAACCGCCCAGTGATGCGTGCCGACGCAGTCCCTAGCTTGGGTGGCTGTGTTGCCCCACGGCCACAGCCGTCATCCTATGTCTTAGATACAATAATGTAACCCAACAAGAGTACTTGGGGGGGTATTCTAGGGTATAGTAATTAAGGCTCATACTTATAGGGTCTATGACCCCCAGCAGGGCTCGAATTAAGCGACGAGAAGGGCAAGGCAATTTTTTTAGGGCATGTGAGAAATCGCCTTGAATTTTCTCTAAAATAGAAAGGCACCAAGGCAACTCTCAAAATTTGAGAAGGGCACCAAGGCACTTTTGTAAAATAAAGGGAAACTCATAACAAATTAGTACATCAACATCGTCTTGCTTTTAATGTACAAAACAATATGCCCCCATGTAAGCTTACACCGTAACACTGACCCCTGTACCCACCTCTGCTAATGGAAGTACAGTAACATGAAATTTTACATGCCCGCTATCAGGAGCAAATAATTATCCGATGCTGTTATTATTCCCTCCTGCAACTATCGGTTTTTAGCTCATCATTGCAACTACAGCACGCACGTGCACGTGTTATGTTGATTCGACTAAAAACAAAACTAGAGCAGTAGATTAAAGGGCACCGACGGCAATTACACAAAAGGGCAAGGCAGGTGACTGCCGTCGGTCAGGTTGGATTTTCAGGGGCAGTACGGCGATTGATAGGGGCACCGACGGCAATTGCTGTCGGTGCCGTCGGTTAATTCAAGCCCTGCCCCCCAGGGTACTGCCGGAACGTACCCTGGGTACGGTCTGGTATACCGGAACGTACCCTGGTAACTATCTGATATGGTTAGGGTTAGGATTAGGGTTAGGGTTAGGGTTAGGGTTAGGGTTAGGGAGTAGGCGTAGGCGACTCCCTAGACTCATTAGAGGAGTAGGCGAGGTACGGTCCGGCATATTAGATAGTACCAGGATACGTTCCGGTATACCGGACCGTACCCAGGGTACGTTCCAGCAGTACCCTGGGGGACATAGACCCTCTCAGCTATAGTAAGTGTTCTTTTGAGTTATTGTTTATTAACCAATTGCAACATTATTTCAAAACAGATATGAAGGAAAATTTTTAAATAACCAGTATCATGGCTATGGTGTTGCACTCTTCTGTGGAGGTCATAAATATGAAGGTCATTTCAAGTTTGGGAAGATGGAAGGCAGTGGAACGTATACATGGAATGAAAAATGTATATATGAAGTAAGAAACTCAGTAGGTCTTTTACAATTTATACATTTCGAATTTTGTGCTTGTCAGAACATTCGTTGGACATACACCTGTGGACCTATGCAGATAATAGATATAATTACACAAATATGTTTATAAATAGACAGAAAGACGGACGAACAATTGGACAGAGGGGCAGACAAACAGGTGGATGGATGGACAGACGGGAGGAAGGATGAATGTGTAGAATACATAGATTTAATTGTGATATATCGACTTATGGAAAGAAGTAAGTAAAATCCCTGAGCTTCATGCATTTGGGAAACACCTTGTCTAATTTGTATATTATTTTTTACATGTAGAGTAACTGTTGTACTCACTCTCGGTAGTGATAATAACACATTTGCACATGATTATATAGCAAAAGGAAAGCTTTTATTTTTATTTATTACAGGGTGACTTCACATGTAATACAATTACAGGGCGAGGCAAATATATTTGGCCTGATGGAAGCACATATGAAGGAGAGGTATTGAATGGCCTGCGACAAGGCCAAGGTGTATTCAGGTCACCCACCCGACCCTGCTTATATGTGGGAGAGTGGTCGAAAGGGAAGAGACATGGAAAGGTTTGCACCAATAAGATATTCATGAATGTAATTTCTATAAACCCAACACAATATTTGTTGTTATAGTAGGATAAAAATGTAAAGTCTGCCTTGTAATAAAAAAACGTTGTAATTCCTCAACCGAACTTAACATTTAGACTAATTTAGTTGATAATTTGTTGTACAATTGTATCGTGGCGGTTGCGCCAGTCAGGGCTTATGCTCCCGGTGGTATGATTCACTGGTGAGTAGAGTATAATGTATTTGTGTGAATGTTCTGTACCTACGTGTGTAAATTCCACATGTTTGTACTTCACTCACTTGCGAAATAGCTATGATTCGCTCTGTTGTTTTACATCTTCTGTTGCGGGAAGCATGTTGAATCATGAATAGGTGGCATGAATCTGCCAGGTTTCCCAGTGTGCATCGTGGGATGTGTTTACGTGTTACTTGGTAGTTAGCAAAATTAATTGACTGAAAGACATTGTAGTGATAGCAGTGCTGTCAGACGGTCATTGCAGTGAGAGCAATGCTGTTGATTGTGTTACGGCTTGGGTTAGTGTGAGCTTTACAGCACCCATAAGAGAAGGTTAGGGTTGCAGAGTTTCAGTAGCCTGGGTAACCAGCCACTGTTGGTAGTACCTGTTTCTCCGGTAAGTGAGCTGTTTGTCTTGTGCTGTGATTGTTGGGGTGAGTAAATATAATATGTTATTTTTACATATATAGAAATAACATAAAGAATAGCATTAACTCTACACGAGTAGAACATAATTACACGTGTATAGTCGATCGCACCTTATCACACTGCCAAGTAACTTGCTACTATTGTGCATTTATTCTATTTGCACCGGTACTCTAACATGTTGCATTTATGTGCACCCGGACGTACTAGGTAGCCTGAGGTAGGTGCCCGCAAATGCTACAACTGCAGATAGTCTGGGTTAACACTACGATTGGTGCTCACTACACGAACAAGTACGCGACCCTAAAAACGCTACAATATTAATATAGTTGACAATATTTCACTCTACTGTTACGTATACATAATTACCTAATTCAGACCACCTATAATATTTTTAAGGGTAAGGTAACGTACAACAGTGACGGCACATCATACTATGATGGTGAATGGAAACAAAGTGAGCTGCATGGTCACGGTTTGAGACGATACAGCAGCGGCAATGTGTATGAAGGCGAATGGTATCATGGAAAGAGACAAGGCAAGGGGAAAATGCACTGGGTTAACATTGGAGAAACGTACACTGGAGACTGGCATGATGGGTTTCAGGTGAAAGATTTTAATGGATCTGATTATTTGAAAAACTCTTAGGAAGAACAAATTTGTTCTCAGACTGTCAGATTTCCGAACAGCATTCATAATAGTGAAAGAATGATTAAGTAACTTTCTCTATGACTTGATATTCATATCTTTCATTTAGCATGGAAATGGTGTGTATGAATGGAGGCTAAGTCATATTCAGGGATCCCAGTATCCAATAACAAACTCCTACTATGGGTACTGGATCAGAGGTCAGTGTGAAGGTTATGGTATCTTTTGCTATGCTAGTGGAGCAAAATATGAAGGACAATGGCAGGACAGCATGAAACATGGACTGGTAAGTTATATCTATAAAATGATTCAGTATGAGTATAAATGGTTGGGTGTAGCTCCATAATTATTGTACAGGGGTGTGCATTGAGTGCTTTATTTGCGGGATATTCATAAGGTTAATTGCTTGAGCACTACAATAAATAACCCCATGCAGTTCTGACATGGCTCAAGGTTCAATAGCATTTTATCATTTACCATTGAGCTGCCATCCCAGAACATTTGTTAACCACGGTCTAACTTTCAAACTCAAAACAAATTGTGAGCATCACTTACAACAGTCCAGTTGTAAGAGAGATGAGAATGATCATGTTTTTAAAATGAATTCAAACAAGGGCAAGATGACATTCAAGAATGGGAGCGTACATGAGGGGCAGTTTCAACGAGACAAGATTTTGCCAATCCCTGACTTAGGAGCAGATGTTAGACACATGCCTGCTGCAATGCGAGCATTCAGCCCCCGATCATTAGGTAAGTTCTGTTGCACAGCTGGTACCTATACAAAAATTATATATGTACAAATGCCTTTGCAATTTAAACATAGAATAATCATCTGCATAATTAAATAGGTAATTCTAAAAATGTGCTTGCTTTTGCACTTTGTCACTCAACTTATTAGATTTGCGTGACAAGAGCTACAACATTTGCATTACTCTCTACTTCTGTGCTGTAGCAGAGAAACACACGGGTAAAAAAACTGAAGCTGATGAAGATAGTCCTGTTGTGACGGAAGAAACCATATTGCAGGCTATTCCGCAACTCCCAAACATTTCATCTCAAATCCACAAGGTAATGATGCAATGTTACACTCGGATTCAAATAGTATTTTCCACATGCCAAAGTATGGCATATATATACTTGGCAAAATTGTGAAATAAATACCGATTTTTGCAGAAATATACAGTACATGGTTTATCAAAATCTGTATCAACCGGAAATCAAACCAGAGCCGCCCAAGTGGCAAGGGAGCATTTTTCCATTGAACTGCTGATGGTTTCTTTGGTTTTAGTAATTCCCCATCTTTATGGGAATCGGAATACATATAAACCGATTTTTGTTGGAACTAGCTGAAAACCGCGCTACGCGCGGGCTTAGTGACTGTGATGCATGTGTTACCAGTACAGTAGTGTTATGTGTATAAGGTGTTATATGGAGAGTTTAGTTGTTGCACATGTTTGTTTTTTTATGGTTGAGATGTCAATACAAATACATGTACAATTACATCCCAACTCGTTTTGACGATCCCCCCCAATGTGCCGAATATCGTGACCGTACGTCGAGCGGTTAAGATTTGTGCCCAACTGTTGACAGACGGACGGACGGACAATCATGCGATTCTGCAAGCTCAGAAGCTGCATCTGACTATGTCAGATGAGCTAAAAATCAAGTTCAGTATGACAGAAATAATTTTGCATCATTCTCTGAATTTTGCATCTATACTACAATTCATTAGACTAGTAATCCGTATCTTTAACAATAACAAGCCAATGACTGCAACTGTTTTGTCTTGATCTACAATTCATAACCTCATAAAGATTAGTCTGCAAAGTTCAAAGGACTATATTGAAGATGGAGAGAGACAAAGTTGGTCAAATAGACAGATCAACACTGGATTGTTTTTAATAACCGTTTTCATATTTTCTCAACCATTCTGATACTTAATTACCGGTGCTCCTTGCATAACACCAAATGTATATATAGTAAGGCTAACATGCCATAGACAACTCGCACAACATTCTTTCTACCAATATGTGCACCGATTTGCATTTTTCAAATGAGATTGCTTACATATATGTCACCAAATCTAGCATGTGATTTTTGCTTCTGCAAAACTAGACCCATCTCTCCACTAGGTTAATTACCTTTGTATACATTTCGAGATAAGTACCAGTCCATAAATATTTGTGTCACGTAATTACGTGCGCTCGTTTTGTGGAACCGTTTGAACATTCCATTATCACAAATCTGAAGATAGCAGGTGCACGTTTCCTGTTCACCTGCATTGTCTCATAGCCTATCACAGCAAAAATTTGTGCCAATTGTTGTGCTGGAGTAATCAGTAAAAAGTCTGCTAATAGTAATAGACAATTTAGCTCTAGTACTATAGCCCACTTACATTAACTGCCGCTGGGCTATAGCATCAGCCATTACGAATGCTCGGGACCAACTTACTCCAGCCAGTCAGCGGGAACTATGTATTTCCGCACGTGGAGGGGTGGGCG